TTCGGTGACTAATGGAACCATTCCGCGACTCCTTAAATGGACTTAAAATGGGCGTTTGTCACCCTAGTTGTATTTTGTTAATGTATGTACTTATGTGCTTGAAACTACTGTTAACTTATCAAATGATTCCTAATCTTGGACAATACATGTTTGACTTCATTCACCACGATTTAGAAAACTAACCAAATCGGCATGACCAAGTCCCAAAACATAAAAACGTTTGAAATAAATCTCGTTTCACTTGTTTACATTTTTCCTTTGGTTGCTGAAGATGAACAGAAAATTCATAAGGGATTGCCGTTTTTGTAAGTTTTATCTTAATATCTTCAAAATTTGTAGTCTTATTGAAAAATTGTATATGAGCGTGAGATACTAAATTTAATCACCTTTGATATCATATATCTTCCTGTTTATAACAATCAAAACTTGTAGTCTTATTGAAAAATTTTATATGAGCGTGAGATACTAAATATAATCACCTTTGATATGATATATCTTCCTGTTTATAACAATTAACGCATTATATAGAGGTTACGAGCCAAAATTCAAATTTCAAAATTCGTACACAAAGATAAGTTTTAAATTAATCTTTCGCGGCCAATAATTAGTGGCTTAGACGTAAGACTACACAATATTACTATAACAGTACCGTCAAATGCCTTTTATTGCCCCATAGAAAATCGACCCAGGCTAATGTATACCAGCTGATTTGGATCGTTCATTTCAAAAATCACATTAAAACTTTTTTTTAAGCTTTGAGTTGTACCGTGCTTTAAATATGTCAGTGATATGCTATGAATAATACCTGATACCTTTTCGGGATCTCAATTCCACGGAAAACTGGTTAATATTTTTCCATAGATTAGGGTTGCCAGATTTTTTATGCGCGAAATCAGTACATTCGACTTTTTCATGTTAAAAAAAATCAGTACTTTTCAGTACATTTTTATTCAAAGCAAAATCATGAATGTAAGTAACAGAAAATAATGTGAAACGCCTGAGCTCTCGTTTTTAACAGTATTTCGGTATATAAATAAAATATGGTTCATAAAAAATTAAAGTGTTATGCATTTTAACATGGGTGTACACATCGTTATCCACAGGAGCAAATAAATTATTTTATATTTGTGACTTTTTGAATAGCAATAACACTGTACGGCAAAATCAACATTTTTTCTGGGTATTGGACCAAACCAATTTTTTTAAGAGATTGAGTCATAGGTAAAAAAGTGGTTTCTACGTATTTCGAATTTAGCCTCCGAAATCGAGATATGGGCCTTCGAAGTTCGAAATTGGACCTTTGGTAAAAAATTATTTTTAATTACTGTGTGTAAACTACTAAAAAAAGTAAAAACATAGTCGTGGTACGCCCTTTTCTCTTATTTAAACGGTATATAACTTTTTCTATGTTACAGGTGCTATAAGGGGTCAAAGGTCGGGTCTTCGAAAAATAAAAACCTTATATTTCAAAAAAGTTTGAACTGATTTTGAAAAAATTAATATCGTCGTAAACGTGATTACACTCGCTTTCTTCTGGCATGCAATTTGTATACTTCGTATGTATAAATCTGAGAAAAAACATTTAAAAGGAAAAACTACCTTTTTTATAAAAAATATTTTAAATAAAAACGTCATACGGGTTCACTAGTAGTTCATAAAAATATAAAAATGTTATTCATTTTAACATGAGTGTACACATCATCATGCACAGGAGCCAATAAATTATTTTATATTTATGACATTTTTGATTGGCAATAATGAGATCATTCCCATTTTCAGTGTTTAAATAGTCAAAGAATTCTATACATTTCATTTTAAAATTACTTTTAATTTAAAGTTCACTTTCAAAAATTTTAATTAGCAACCGGTTTCTCTCTTTGCGCCAGGTAGCAAACTTTATTCTTAAGATCCTCTCATACTGTAAAAAAGTACCACTTTTTAAGGAGTTCATCTATATTTCCTCATGGCTTAAATAATTTTTCAACTGCGCAAAAACTGTGAAAGACTAAGAATTCGCTAAAAAGAGTATCTAACTCTATGGGCTGGTTTCTCCAACTCAACTTAACTTAGTTTAGCCACTTTTTGGACTTAAGTCAAAAGTTAGCCTACGTTTTACACAGCTTATTCATGACTAAGTCAAGAAAATTCGCTTAACTAAGTTAAGTTGAGATGGAGAAACCAGCCCTATGTCTTGTATGCAAAACTCTTTTACAGTCAGTAAATTGAGAAAAAGGGGTTGTAAGTTAAAGGCAAAAGCCATTCGAATATTAAAATTTATTGTTATTAAACTGAAAGTGATTTTCGAGATAATTAACAACACTCGACAAAAATTTAAGCCTTCTTTTTAAATAATTTAAGCTCCATCATATTATCGCAACTGGTACGTAACGACCCGGCGATATGCCCATAAAACGATTGATCTTTTTGTTGTATTAATTTCTTGGGCATATTAAACATTATCTAAAACATGTCAACTATAATTAAATTATTTTATTCTTATTTTTTTACAGTACATTTTAAGGAAGTTCCAACGTTATGTAAAAACCTTAAGAAAATACTAAAGTATTTTGTTTGAATAGCAAATTCAGTACAAATCAGTACAAATTTTGAAAAATCAGGACATTAGCGTACTGATTGAAGAAATGAGTAAAATCAGTGCAAGAGTTGAAAAATCAGTACTATACTGATAAAATCAGTACGTCTGGCAACCGTACCATAGATTAATTGCTCGCTATCGAATTTTCTGCCACTTTTTACTTTTGTGACAAACACAGTCAACTTCAACTGCAGCTTGGAGTTTATTTTGATATATGGCTCAATTCTGTGGCTTCTACAGATCGCCCTAACTATGTTGTATGACGGAGCAATTATATATATGTAGATGATTACCGTCAAGTCGAGTTTCGCTTATTGTGGAGCGCAATCAAGTTTTTACCCTTCTTAGTATCCTAAACGACCTTTCAATTGTGCAAGTTGTACACGGCAGAGCTGAGTGCAATTGTAAGGCACATTTTACTACCGGGTAAAGAATTTCGCTTTCAGTTGCCATTTCTTAGTATCGTATACCTACATAGAAGGTAAACTTTAAAGGCTCTTCCGTCCGGGCATGGGCGCAGATGAGCGAGATGTTGAAGAATCTCGCTTTGATGCGGATTATGGCTATGGGTCCCAAACCCAGCGCACAACCCATTGCTGGGACAAAATTTCAAGTTGGGTAAAAATTTTAAAGGTTGCTTCGGGTGAGCAACAATTTATCGATTCGAGAAATGAATTCGCTAATAACAAAACGAAACTCGTATATCGAGACGATGAAGTGGCCGGTAATCTAAAGGTTAGATGAGAAACGGCCCTTACTGTTTGGCAGATTCTTTTATCATCCTATTCGGATTTGTTTACTTGTACTTGGGGATAAATCGATACCATCAAGGTATTGCCCAAATCTGTATTTGTACTGGTATCAAACAAGGTATCGATACCCATTCAGTATTGGAAAGGTATCGAGTACTTGTGCATAGAACTACGATTTTGCATATTTTTAAAAGCTACTGTATTTTGTATATTGATTATTTACCTTTTAATATTTTTGCATACAAAATTTAACACAACATTTATTTTTGTATAGTATTTGATTTCAAAAACAATAGAATACATTTTTACAAGATTAATGAATGAAGTTTTTTCATATAAATTAAGTTTAAGAAGAGAACTATGCAGTTTTTTGTTATATTTCCCAAAAACACCAACTTTTCTAAGTGTTTTCCTGAAAGGCGGGACCCAGCAACTGTTATGTATAGACGGGCTTGCTTATATAGCTACGGAAATTTAGGGCGCATATCTTCCCTTTCCTCTTATGGGTACATACTTGGATCGCAGTAAAAATTATCGAGTACAAAAATACTTAGTAAATTGAGGGAAGTGTCGAGTATGTACTTGGATTTACCTGTATCGATTTATCCTACTTGTACTTGATAAATTGAAAGCGCAATCTTTTGTATTCTATCATTCTTGCATACTTAAGTACATAGTATGTGCATACATATTTACGCGATAAGAATTTGCAGAAACACCTATGTATCTACTGCATTTATGTAAGTAAATATATGAATGCATGTATGTACAAACATACATGCATATGTACATGAATTTAAAGGACCGGTGGTCAACTACATATATGTATAGGATGACTTCCAAAACGTATCAATACAATTGGGATATTCACAAAGGTGTCGTAAGTGTCGTATTGTTGTATGTCGTAAACTTTAAACGCCTAAAAAATGCATTAAGAGGGTTCGCAAAGTACCATCAAAGACATATTATGAGATTTTGCAATGTTAAAAAATAGCTGGTTGTCCATTCAAGTTCTCTAAACATTTATTTAAGCTTTTAAAGTTTACGACATAAAACAATACGACACTTACGACACCGTTGTGAATCCCTCAAATGTTTGGATACTGTTATACTGCGGTATTCAAACTGTTTGTATATGCAGAGTAGCGACGACACATTACAACCATATACATTGCATATTTTAAATATTCAATATAGCAATGAACAATTTTTCTGAATTTTAAATTTTTCTGAATTTTCAATTTTTAAAACACCAATGGTAACCAACAACAAACGAAGCATCAACTTCGTTTCTGATGCGCTTATTGCTTTAGCGATGCGTTTCGATAACTCCTCGGATGCGTTTTGGAAAAGTTACATTGTCAATATTTTGTAGCTCGGCGTTATGGAACATTATACTTTTTACGTATGCAAAGCAATTGACCTTTTGGAAGTCAGCCATAAAAATGAATATGCTAAAGAAGCAAACAACTTCATGTATATGTACATATTAAAAATATTTCAGTAAGCTTCATTGCACTTAAATCAATATTTTCATATATACATACATACATACATATGTATTTATATATACACATGCGTATATATATATATGTACATATTTACATATATACCCATAAATATACTGCATATGCATAAAAGTATGTACATACAACTATTTTAATAGCTTGAACCGAGACTCAATGCCACCCACGTCGTCGGTAATTAAAGCGTTTTATCGTCATCAGTTTTAAATATCTGACTGTCATTGACCTTATAAAATCGCTATCGCCGCTTCTGCTACTTTAGATGTTTCATAATCAAAAATTGTAACTTTGGCTTCACATTACCGGCAGAAACTAGAGCTTCCTTTACGATTTACTGCGTTGTTGTTTTTTCTTATCTCTTATTTGTTTTCTTTCGGAGTGCCTAGTTAGACAGTCACTCCCGAAAAAAGGCAGCGAATAATTGCGCGAGAACCGAGAACCCGTTTCCGGCACAAACCATTCAATGCGTAACTTGTTACTGAATAATTTGCTGTCAGAGGTACCTGTATTAGGTCACCTCTGTACCAGTTCACTATAGCGTTACTGCTGCTCTTCCCTGTTTCGATTCCGCTTGTCAATGCGCCCAAATTCACCCCTCATATTTGACACCAAATCGCATCACATTTACACTTTCACATTCGGCGGCTACAGATGCCACAGCTCTCCAACTTCAATATCACAACAACTGCAGCACCCACAGCATTCGTTTCGTTGTCTGGCAAAGCCTGTTTCCTTGAAGGTCCGATGTCAGTCATCCAGGAACTTCGAGAAAATGTATGTGATAGATTCTAAACTCTCATTCTCTAGCTGCTGTTAGTGCAGTACTTAATAGCTGAAATACAATGCCGGCGAACGGCGAACTCACCACAGCGAAATTCGCGCTGTCAAAATTAGAACACCCGCAAGCATATGAAATTGAACACAGCCAAAGCGAAATGCGAAGTTCGCTTAGCGGCGTTTCATGGCGATAGATTTATTTCTATCGCCCTGCTGGGCGACGACAGCTGTACGTGCCAAAGGTGGCCGTATTTGTTTTTTTGCTTTCAAAGTTTTAAAAGAAAACAACCTAAAGACGATTTTTTTTTGTTGTTTGAAAAATATAGTTGCAGATTTGTTAAATCTGGCTTGAAACAAATTATTTATAAAAATCTTTCTTTGTTTTACATTTATATTTGTTATCATTTCCTCATTTCTAAATATGGTTTAGTTTTTTCTAAATATGGTCACCCAAATCATAAAGGCGACCAAATGGGATCAGCTGTTTTCGCTACCGCTCTAATTCTGTTTAAGTAGGGGAAATAGCTGGGCGAACGGTGAACGACAGCATCGCCCAATTCGGCGAAGTTTGCCGTTCGCCGGTATTGTATTTCAAGCATAAATTTAACGGTTAAGAACCAGACGTAAATGTAACGTCATGCACATATATATGTGTGTACATATGTATACATACTTATATACACACGTATATACATGAGTACAGAAATATATATGTTTTAGAGGTATACGCCGCCGAGCCACGCTGCCGCCGCCGCCGTTTTTTGTCATTCTTCACGCGCAGCCGCCGAGTTACGAAAATATCGGCGCGGCGACGGCGGTGGCGTTTGCCGGCTAAGGAATTTTGTACAAAATTTTCATGATGTATGTATATTGAAATACATCGTTTGAAGGAACTAAATACTGCTCGCATAAAGACGCAATTTTACGAAATGAAAATTTCATTTTTAAATGAGTTTTGTTTTGCATAATTTGGGCCATTTCACAAGAATATGATCTCCTTTATTTTTCCGAAAAGAGCGTAACTCAGAAAACACATAGGTAACATATTTTTCGATCGAAAGCGTTTATTACAGTTAAATTAGGGCGAAAACTGGTAATCTGACGATTTTTATTCAATACTACAACAATACTATTTTTATATACACATACCACAACAACAAGAAAGTTATAACACATCAAATATCAGCCAATATCTCAGAAAGCCAATATAACAGTAGCGGCCTCATTGCATCGAACTCCTCAATTATTGGAAATAAAACAAACACAAGTTGATTTTCCTGTGTATTTTTTTTTTGTATTTTAAACAGACTTTAAAAAAAAGCAAACATTTTATTTCTAATTTTTACATTCGTAAGTTATTTTATTCTGGGTCCCACATACGTGTACAAGTCTAGGTGGCTGTGTGAAAAGATGGAAGGTTTTGCTCCCTCTCATCGCAATGTTGTCTACACAGGGTTAAAGTTCTCCCTTTATAGTAAAAGTTAGTATTATTTTTCATTACATTCGGTTCTCCTTAGAAAAATGTGGCGCTTAATATATTTTTAAACAGTGGATCAAAAAGGCGCGTTATAGTTCGAGTTGATGGGTTAAACTTTTGGAAAAAAGTAGACCAACCTTTGTTTTCAATATGTAATCCGCAAAAAAATAGTAAGAGCTCCGTAGTTTAATATAACGGTTGATAAGATTATTGCAAACATTTTTTGATAGCGACATCAATTACCCCAATAACTAACTTTTTTTTCTTTAAATTTATATAGTACATACGGATCTGTAGAGAACATAGAGGTGCATGTGTGTATGTATGTAAACACCTCAGACCTTCTTCTGTTCGCCCATCCATCAGCGCCAGACACTCAACATTTTAATTTAAGTAGGAAGTAACGTAATTTAAATTTAAAACTAATTCAAAGAGTGAATGAAATAGAATTATAATCTGAATTGGCATGGCGAATGACTAAAGCTGACGAGATGACATGATAAGATTAGTAGCCTCATGGCTCTTTGGAATCTACCCTATGGGCAGTAGAACAGGCGTCGCCGCCGCCGCTGATTATTTTTGAAGTTTACCACGCCGCCGCCGCAAAGACTGTCGGCGTCAACCTTTAGTATGTATGTACATGCACATATGTATGGACTACATAGTGTTGCCGCTTTGTTTGCTGTATGCGCGAATGCATCGATGCTAAATGTGAAAGTCTGGTGCACCCCGGCATCCAAATGGAAAACGAAAATTTATTACGTACAGCTTTCAAGAGAGGAAAATGAAATTAATTGGGAGAATAAAATGTTCCGATTCCACCTTGTAAACTGAAATTAAAGAGACATGGTCTAGCTATTATTTCTCTTTGAAATCTTACAGTGATATGACTTAACACGGCATGCTAGTAAAAAGAGGATATTCGCTTAATTTTCGAAATGTTTACTGCTATTGCTTATATACATAGATACATATGTACTTAGATACTTGCTTATGTTCTTATACATACCTATAAATGAACGGATGATGTGTAATTAGTAGGTCAAAATGTTTCCAAAAACACACTTATCAATACTGTTGTGGTGCATACAGTTTTGGATATCATAAATCAACAGAGTCCATAAGAACACTCAAAACCAAGGGGGTATTGACTCTAGATGTAATAAGAATACATGTGTTTATAGCATTTGAGTTTTAAACATCTACAATATGTACATCCATTATCATTGTGATTATATTACAAGGCAATGTTTTACTTATACTAGGTTCACATATAAGTAGATTATCCTCATTTTCGAGCTTAACACCCTAATCTGTAATTATAACAAGAGATTACCCATATAAAATTCGTCCCTTGTTAATCTGTAATTATAAAATAATCTCAGATTAAACCGATAACCTTTCGGTGTCCATCCTAGTTTTAGTTACTTTGTTTTTGCGAAAAAGAGGAGAAATGCCAAATGTAAAAGTAAACAAAAATGTACGCTAGCAAGGAAAAGAGGTTTGTAAAGGTATTTTTAATAAAATGTTAAGTTAAAATATATTTATATTGCTTATTATAGCTTAAAAACGTGATCACGGTGGCATAGAGAAGAAACATAACTTTTCATTGAGATGTGAGAATAACAAGCACAACAAATTTGACGGCTAATAATCTGAGATTTGCCTGTGTAAACGGGGTGATTAAAATACGAGCTTTGATTGTGATAATATTGATATGTGAACATAGGTTTAGAGAATTACTTTTCATCTCAATTTAACGGGTTCAATGGGGACAGGATTTTATTTTTCAACGAAACCTATACATGGGCAAACCCAAGAAATAGTCAACCAAAAAGAAAAACGGGGACACAGAATCCAGAAGATAACATGTGCTTCACGGGATACGGTGGTTCAGATGTACAGGTAACGAAGAATTGAGCGTTTTGCACCAGTTGATAATTTTCCACGTCAGGGAACACTGTATATTTTCGCTGCTAAGTTGCTACCCTACGATATTTTACTGGGCCGCGACGTTCTACAGACCAACGATTACAACAGTGTTCTTCATCTAGAGAAGATCGTGTTGGTAGATTTGAATATATTTGGCTGCTTAGGAAGCTAAGAACAAGGCACTGAATCTTTTATCAAGGTATGATGAATATTTCGCCGGAAAACATCAGCAAGATTGCTCCAAGCTCCATAGGGTTATGTGGTGTGCGGTGCCGTCACATAGCCCCTAGAGGCATAACTCCAATATTAGAATTTGGGATTATGCCACTCCTTGGTATTTACTTAGGGTTACGCCACTATATAAGGCGTGACATATTTCCAAATGAAAGGGCGACAAAATTCCAAATCCCTCATGTAATCTTGCAAACCAAAGGAATTTAGAATGAGGAAGCGTACCAATAAAGACATTTTTATCAAACCACTGTCATATAGAGGTGCAAAAAGAATCGATTATGATATCTATACATCGATTTTTTAATTTTTGGCGCAACATCAATGTCTATGGAATCGATTAAAATTGAAGAAAGCTCCTTCGCTACATGTAAAAGTGACGGTGAGTAGATCGCTATGGGTAAAACTAAAATTATATTTGTGTAATGAATCTAATCATTTTTATTACCTTAGAACATAACATAGAAAATATTGGTGTTGATGGAGTCCTCAGTGAACAAATGGAACAATTATTCTTTTAATCGGTTTTATTTAGCTTGCCCTGTTTGGGTTAAATCTTCTTCATGGGTAAAATCTAGTAATAGTAATAAAATTAGGAATTTAAAGACTAAGGGTGAATTCCAAAACGTCAAACTACAAAGCACCAATCTCTTTTATTTCTAAACCTGAGTAAATTGCAATGCCAAATATGCGCAACCACGGTTAGATGCCAGTTTTCAAGTAAGTTGCTCAAGTTAGACTTTTTATTTTAGTACGGTTTAGAAATAAAAGAGACTGATGTTTTGTATTTTGACGTTTTGGAATGCACCCTATGAGCCTGCATAACACTTAAATGGCGTATAATCAATGTATTCTTGAAGTTTCGGACTATTTTATTGATCCTAGAAAATTATATTGACCCCAAAAGAGAAGAAATCATTTTCATATGCGTTTATTTACTTGTTTATTTATACGAGTTATTCCTATGGGGAAATGAACGATCGATGCGGCACCTCTTAGAATTATCATAGAGGGGCGAGATTCATGGAGAATCATTAAACCGAATTTTTTTTCCTTTCATGAGCATGAAACGGTATTATAACTTTGGTCCGATGTTTGTAAGTACCAGAATAAGTAACCCATTAAAATGTATACTTAAATGATCATAACGGCGAGCTGAGTCGATTTAGCCATGTCCGTCTGTCTGTCCGTCTGTTTGTATGCAATCTAGTCTCTCAGAAATATTTCTTCATTTAAAGTAGACGTAAATTTAGAAAATTTTGACATGCTGCTTAGTAGTTCTTTT